TAGATCGAAGTGAATATGATGTTTCTGTTGCTGAAAATGAAAAGATATATAGATGAGGTTTGGTTGACAAAGATTTGAAAGGTTGAACATGTATCCGGTATTGCATTCTCTCAGTTACTGCATGGAAGCCAGTTTAGCTCGTTTAACAATGGGGTATAACATGGGACCATTTTGGTTTTTGACAAATTACCCGAGCACACCTATTCTGGAGACGAATAATATTCAATAAAACGTAAGAGCGTCCCATTCATGACAAACTAAATACTAGAAGAAGAAAAAAATCTCTAAGAGTTAAGGGGTAAAATTCAGAGTCACAATAATTTCTACACAGTCTTTAAAAACAGTAAAATTTGTATCATTTTTCTCTTAATATATTAAATAATAATAATATTTATAATAATCATTATAATAATCATTTAATGTTAAAGATATGAAAATAGTAATAATAATGTATTTATATAGCGCTTTTTCCATAAACTTGTTCAAATGCGCTATATAATAATACGTTATTTTCAGAAGGGGTATTAAGAGTTTGCTTTAGTTGCGAAGAAATCTAGGTAGGTTACTTTACAGTTTGAAAGCAGCAATTTTGAATGCTCTATCACCAAGTTTGGGCAGCATCTTGGCGACGGGTGGTTCAGCGTGATCCCTTGAGAGGAGCAAAGAGAGTTAGTGGGATGGTTGCCTGCTAGTTATGAGTTCAGATAGGTATAGGGAGAAGACAGACCATGGGTGCATTTTAAGCTGAGAAGAAGTATTTAACCCATAGACTACTGAGTTATCATATTCTCCATAGGTTTCATACAGAAACCGCCGTGCTCCAGGAGACAATGGGTTACCCTTTACCCTGACAGTTACAAATATTATCACATTACCAAATATCCATACTTTTTATAGCATTTTATCAATTTATGAAGGAACAATAATTATCTAAATAATTTCGACCTCATAATCATTATATTGGCGCTATAAAAAGAACAACTGATGCTTCGAAATCGAATTTCTAATCAGGGAAAATAATCAATATGGAGACAGCAATCTCCTTATGTAACTTTATCGAACGAAGTTCAAAAGAGTCAGAATTCTAGTGTCCCTAATACTTATAATATGCATTAAACGTCTTCTAAAGTATGCTTACCTTCGTATAAACTTATGGAGTAAATCAAAGCTATCCATATCAAGCAAACGACATATCTTTGAAGATGCATCTTGGAGACCCGTCCCACCAATTAGGGGCTGTTGTTCGCAGTCATAAAAAGTGGTATTTGCTGCTCCTGCTAATCTTCTCAAGAACGTTGGTTATAACTCTATCACGGTATACTTTGTTTCGTTGTCCTTATGGATGAAAGGTCCATATCACTTCGTTATCGTGGTTATGAAGAAAAATCGGGACAGAATATTTTTTTTCATCGACAATAATTATTATCCCTGACTATTGCTCTTGTTTTTCAAGACGTTGATTATTTCCTCATCAAGAATAATCAATGTGGCTCAAGTTGTTCAAAAATGTTATAAACATTTTGTCCGGGATATTAGTTTGTATATACATCGTCATGATCATGTTAATAAGCCCGAGTAAAATCTACTCATCATCGTCGCTTGTCCAATCGAGTCTTTGAATAAAATAAAAAAGTCGTACTTAACTTTCGTCGTGAAAAATCAAATGCTCGTTGTCCAAGTGAAAGAATGTTAACAAAAGGTCACCATGATTATTGTCCACGATCAAATAAACAAGCTCATGATCCAGTAAAAGTATAAACCTGTACTCAAATTACTTTTCCGTAAGTTAATATAATTAAGCTTTGGGCGAAGTCCCCGAGAAATGGAAGATAATCCCTCCATACATCGTGTCAGTATTTCATCTGCCTCCGATCGTTCTCCTTGTCGCTATCATTCTCCATGGGATGATCTCGGTGTGTCGTCATCATCATCACCATAGCTGTATCTCCCCTCTATAAAAAACCACTGACACTTTCACAGCGCTATATACTTGAAATGATATAAAATCAACTCCACCCGATTGGCGCCCAGGCGGGTTGTACTATTTAGTCACAGAATGTGACGTCTTCGGGAACGTTCCCATTCCCATCTTTGATGTCATTATTATAATGCCCTGCCGTGTATATTTGTACAGTGAGCAAAGCAGCACCGTAAAGGCATTTTGATGAAATCGATGATTTATTAAGTTGGCAGATCGGGTGAAATCTAATTTGGAATTGTTAAGTGCTAAAGGATAATAATATGAACATTTTCCTCCAGACCTTCAATCAGGCAAAATGTATTAAAACTTTTTCTTCCTATCTTTCGTTCTTTTCTTTCATTCTTTAATTCTTTCTTTCTTTCATTTGTTGATAATTATATTTCTTTATTTCTTTATTCATTTATTTATTTATTAATCTATTTCGTTTCAGTCTGTCTTTCCTTCCTTTTTTTTTTTTTTTGTGTGTTTGTTCTCCTTGTTTTCCTCCTTTTCTAATCATTGTAGTACTTCTTCCTCTTTTTTTTCTCCTCACATTTATTAGTTGGCATGGATGGCTAAGTGAAAACAAAGGTTGGATTGGAAAAAGAATAACTTATGAAGGGGTCTATGATGAAAGCACTGCTCGTAAGTTATAGGCCCCATATTATGTTATGATATTGAGATAATAATATAGTCTATGAAAGTAAACGGAACGAGCAATGTATGGTTGTATTGGCAAATTTTATATACAAATAACATTAATGTAAACTTATGTTAACATAATTCACACTAAAAAAAGAAGCAATGGATATTAGGCTAAATATAGAATAACAGTTCAAATTATTTTGATAAATTTGCATAACCTGTACGTCATAAGCTCATTTTAGACATGCATGGGAAGCAATCTATATCAAGAACAACCTTCATGTTAGTAGCAGTGGGGACAGACCGCGTACCTGAATCCAGGCTAGGTATTAATTATTCGAATAAGCAGTCTGATTTGTGAAGAGTATTAATGGGACGTGATTCAATTCAAGGGCATTCAATTTATGAGTGACTGGCTTCAGCGAGTAGTCGATTAAAACAAAAATCGATCTCTTCATAATTATGGTTGAATGACTGGCATTTCTTTCATGAAGGTAATCTATGTTCTTGAATAAATGATGATCCATTTGCAGGCCCAAAAAATGAAAAGGTTTAATTCCAGTGGCATTTGAAAGATAATACTAATTTAGAACTTCCAAAAAAGACGGGGGGCTTGAAAATGTCTTTAAGTGGGAAAATAACGACTATTAGTTGTCGAATCGACTTAAGAGCTATAGAGCCAGTAAGTAATAGTCTGATTTTCAGACCATTGTATAGAATGGTCGTACGTTTTATGCTGCGCAAAGATTCAATCAGTTTAATTTGGCCATCACAAGAATTGGGTTATTGATCATGTACCCTTTACAGCACATTAATATATGTTATTACCAAAGAAGAGAAAAGCTATTTAGTCATAGTGTCAGACAGTGAAGTTTAGCAAGTAAACGGGTTTCCTTGCATAATTTGAATATTAGGACATTGCTAACGTTTAAATTTCACAGATAGAACATACATGACATAATTCCGGCAAAGTTCTAGAGAATTTGATGTTGGCTGCAAAAGGGACATAGTATCTTTAAGTGAGCCTATGGACTACTCAAGAAAGAATTTGGACATTTGGAGTGATAGGTCGGAGTTGCACAGGGGTTCACGTCCCTACAACCCCCGCCCCCTCTGACCCAAATGGTTAGAAGAGAGAGAGAGAGAGAGAGAGAGAGAGAGAGGGGGGGGGGGGGGGGGGACAAAGTGAAAAAGAAGATGAAGCCCCTTTCCACACCTTCCTCCTAAATTGTCATTGATTCGTATCTGGTGCTCCGGTTTTACGCCAGAGCGCTCATAAAGGCTTGATCCACCACTTGACACCCTTATATTAATAATGCTTTATAGTTTATAGCGTTCAAGACTACAAGGGTAGTGGTTGGGGCTTCCTTGGTGTTATACCGGTGTATAGCCGTTTGGCCTACAACTAGCTAGTTTGTGTACTACCCATTAGTCTATTCCCATATGGTCCAGACCCAGCCAGTCTACTATCCATATGGTTCAATAACCATTTCGTCTAATTAGCATTTGGTTTAATGTCCATTTAGGCTAAGAGTCATTTGGTCTAATTGCCATTTGGTCAAATTTCCAGTTTGTCTAATGCTCATTTCGTCTACCATCCATCATCAAGACCATACGGATAATCTCAGAATACAGAATTGAACAATTTGGAACGTGAAAATAAAAAACCAGTACACTCACATTAACTGGTTTTATTTTTGTTGTCCTTTCTGTTTTTTTGTTTTCGGTAGAAAAAAAACGCAAAAAAAGAAAAAGGCAAACAAAAATCAATTAATACACCTACCAATACTCATTTTACTTGAACCATTCGATATGCATTTATGAGCCAACCACTTTGACTTGTTTTTATTTGTTTTTAAATTATTGGTCAAGTACCTCCAAAGGTGATAATAATAATGGCGATGATGATGATCTCGTCGATTTTTATGTGAATCAATTACAACTAGATCTATTTCTCCTTTCGAAAAAAAAATAGCAGGAAAAAAAGCTAAGAAAATTCACATAGGCCTAAGCATTCAGTTTACGCATTCTGAAATGCCTCAGAATGCAATATTTTCCACTTGGCACACGCGATTTCGTACATCCCCCCCCCCCCCCCCCCCCCTCCTTCCACTTTGGAAAAACCTGGATCCGCCCCTGGTGAGAGAGAGAGAAAGAGGGAGAGAGATGAAAAAGGGGAGAGGGGGAAGAGAGAGAGAGATGTACACACGTCTTCGCTTGGTTCCTTACGCCTTTTGAGTTACGGAACGTTGAGGAGTATCCAAGAAGAAGAAGAAGAGAGAGAGAGAGAGCTGAGGGAAAGACCGATGAGGGCGTTTGGTGTTTAGCCACCATCACCCATAGCAACGTGACGTATGAGCTTGACAACGATGCTCGCTTCATTATTATTTTGGTAATGTACACACGTACCGCGGCGCCGTACTGCATATCGCGTTTGCATTGTGTGTGGACTATTTCAGTGAATATATTGAAGCGAAGTGACTGAATACGGCAAGTGCAGTATCGAAAGCAACGTAAACACATAGGATTTTTGCATTTTTACCCTAATTTCTGCATCAATATGGCCACGATGTATGGACAGCAAGAAAGTATCTACAATCTCATACCTCAAGAGGAGGTCAAACAAGAAAAACAAGCCAGGTAAGTTTGTTTTTTTCAAGCTATTCGCACCTCCACTCCACTCCAGTTAAAACTCAGATGAGTATTTTGGAGGACCAACCGGTGCTAATTAAGAATCATATCCATAGGTAATTTAAGACGTATGCCTAGACCTAGGCCTATAAATATGCCCACCTTCCTTCATTCAAAATCCACTGCATGTGATATCGTGTCATGATCATAATGATAATCTGCAGATATCATTCAATCCCAACCAACCAACTCAATGACAATGCAGATGAAATGCATAGTTCTACTGTAGCCTAGTACTTTCACCCGTAACTCTGGAGTGGAGATACGCTACCAAAACATACCAAAATAATAATATTGGATTATTATATAGATCTAGATCTAGCGCAAATATCGACCTTACAAGGTCCTCACGACGCTCCAACATTACCCGCTATGCTAGGCTGCCGATTTCGACGCTCACAGCATTTTAAGGAATTCCTTCCTACCGCCCGGTACCGGTTCCCATTTCCGTGTATATTCTAGATTAATGTCTTGCCAAAGGACATTAGTGCTGCGGCGGGACTCGACCAGCGGACCCTGTAATTCACAGTCTGACGACTTATCCACTATGTCTACGCCACAACACCTCTAGAGTCTACTGACTCTCTAGACTTTTTTTTCTACTAGACTCTAGACCTAAATCTTCATCATTTTAATTGTTCAAATAATGGTCATGATTTAAAATTTGTTATGTTTCTTACCTGTTTTGTGTCAATTTTCTCATATTTTTTAAAGTATTATCCACCAAAATAAAGATATAATATGCACTTTCTCACAGGTTTCACGGCAAACCGCAGCACAATACAATTGCATAACATATAGCGTACCGATGGTGGGGTGCGAGCGCGACTGAAGTTAGCAACTGTAATCTCAGATCCTCAAAAAAATCATGCGAGTAAATCAAGATTGGGAGTCATTTATTAATTAATTACATGCATATTTGCGTTGTGTGTGCCAAAGTCAAGCCACATTGCATTGGCATTGCCATTTGTGGTTCCTTTCATTTTGTGGTAGACATTTTAATGGGCATCAACAATTACTTGATACATGTCGGTAGAGCAAGCTTCTAACTCTTAAGTTCTTATAAATTCAATCTTCACTATTTTATACAATTTGCCAAATCAACTCCAGAAAAATTAAATGTAGGATCCAAATTTAAACAAAAGAATTAGACCTTAGGCTAAGCTAAGACACTAAATTAAAGCATTTTTAGCCTTTGAGTTTGAGAACAAAGTCTAGACCATAGTGTATGGTTCTCCATAGCAGCTTGCCACTTCCAGTCATGACAAAGCATTGATGTATTTAATCTATTTTCTTATCACAGGTACACATCTAAATTTCGAGGAAATGTGAAGGTAGAAGAGAAGACGAAGAAGACGTCCAGCAAGACGATGGGACCGGCGAAAGTAGAACTCAAGAAACCCGAAGAATTCCACAAGAAACACTCCAAGGAGCCACAGCTTCCTCCCAAGACTAAATTCAGCTACCCCGACGAAGAAACAAAGAGACCAGCTGTCCCAAAGAGAGATGAGAAACCACTCATGGGTCTCAAATCAAACAAGAACTTTGTCAACACTAACGCAGTGGAGAACATCATGTCTGTACCCAAGAAACCAGCTGCTAACTTTGTGGATACAGTGAACGGTGCCACACACCCCCTCACGCCGTCTGGTCTCATGCCCAAATATGTCAAGAAAAAGGTGAGGACTAGCGTCGAAAGTGTCAACAGTTTCTTTCAGAGAACTGGCAACACTTTGCTTCACAGTATACAGTTTTATAATACTCTATCTGCAAGTCAATTAATTTTTCCAATATTTGCAAATCAAGCATGTGATCTCTACATTGTAACAAAAGGAAAATTCAAATTTTAAGATGTTCATGTGTTTGTGGATTTGATTAGTTTACATGCATGTAAAGGGTCCCTTCAACTATTTCTCTAGTCAAACAGATCATTACTTGGGAATGCTTGGTGTAAGATTTTTGCCTGTTTGCTTTTGTTTTAAAAAATAATAACAAAATAGGAGATAATGCTAAATTGCCTTCATAATTTTGTTCAAGAGAGAAGCCTTAATTCATTATTTGTTTCATGAGTGAGCTTGATGTTCCAAACATTTTTTGCTTTAATTTTCAGATGATTATGTGGTATTTTTTAGATCAGTTGTAGAACAAGGTCTGAACTGTAACCAATTTCAAATTTGTATGACTTTTACCAGAATATAATTGACTAATTAATCATGATTTGATCTATTTAATTTCTTTGTAATTAATCTCATTGTTATATAGATTCCTGCCATGTTCATTTTATTTAGCAGAATATAATTACTTTGTGTTGGTGACTCATGAATACATGTATTTCTTTGTTTATCTCAGGGTTATGGTGAGGTCCCTACCTACCTTCAGCAGCGTAATGAGGAAGTCCAGAGAGCTCAGGAGGAGTACGATGAATACATCAAGGAGCATTACAGAAGAGGAGCTATGAAGTGCCTTACTGAAGAAGAACGTAAAGCAATCATGGACGGACTCAAGAAGAACTGGGAGGAGATTCATCATCAATACCAAGGTCTCTCCGTCGTCACGGATACCGCTCCCAAGAAGGCCCGTAAGGAGAGGATGGAGGCCGAGATGAAGCAGCTGGAGAGAGATATTGAGCTCCTGGAGAAGCACAAAGTGATCTACATCTCAAACCATTGAAGCAATGATGCTAACTACTGAACTCATCCGGATTATAATGTCTGAGAAACATGAGCAGATCCACTTAATGGATGGATGGAACATTGAGCAGGGATCATTCGTGATCATTTCTAACTCATTGAATCATCTTCACATATATGGTTGCATGGCAGCAGAGCATTGATCATTGTTAAGCAGATAGTTGTCAACTTGTGCTTTAATTAAGCAAAATAAAGTAGCACAGTCTTTTGTCCATACTACAAAAAAAATATATATAAAGAGAGCCATATTTTTAGCGAACACAAAGTTGGTATTTTATCTTTTGCTGTAGCTGCAAGGATTTTTTTATTAGTAATTCTCCCCCCCCCCCCCCCCCCCCCCCCCCCCCCGTCAGTTATACTTGTACACTATTGTAAAGTGTTCATTTGGAAAAAATTGTAACCCATGTCAAACGGTACGCTAATTTTTAAATGTATAAAATTACAGTGATATCGTCTTGCAATGTATATACCATGTGTAAATATTCAATAAATTTATCTATGGAATTCAAATGATGATATTACTTCTAGTTTTCTCTGCCCAAGTGAAGTTACTGGCAATTTTAAAATTGTATATTTAATATTTTTTAAAGTAGGCACTTTTAAAGTTGCTAGGTTTTTCAGTTGGTATATACCGGTAAATTAATGCAGAGATTACCATTAGCCTCAGCTAAAAAGGAATCTAAATAGAACCTAGTCAAGAACTTCTAATTGTAATGATTTTTCCAAAAGAAAAAGGGTTGGGGAAGAGAACAAATGGACAAAGGATAAATTGAGAAGAGGGGAACATGAAACAGATAAGGGAGGAAGAAAGAATGAAAACAAAAAGTAGTGTTGAAATAAGATAGAAGCAGGAGCGGTTGAAGAGAAGAGACAGATGAATGTATAAGAGATATTCAAAGAGAGAAGGGAAAAAGAGAGCGAATGGGAGTTTAGAAAGAAAGAATCAATGAGAGAAGAGAAAGATAAGAATGGAGAAATCATTATAGAGATCATAATAGAGTGGCCTAAGAGATACTCACAGAAATTCAAATCCACTCAAAAGTATTGGGAGCCCCAAATTCGCCAAAAATTTGATGGCAAAATATTTGGGGCTCACAACACTTTGAAGGGGCTTTAAGATCGAGAGCTCAAATTACTATGGTGATAGATATTTAATAGTGAAAGAAAATAAGAATAAAAAAGAAACTAGAAAAGAACACTTAATTTTTCAAAGAAAGAGTGAAGTAAATAGCTTAGATCTGAAGATAAAGCGAAAGATATTACCTATTTTCCCCTCCCCTTCTGTTTCCCTCTTTAAACAAAATAAAATGCTTGAACCCTCCCTCTCGCTTCCGAGTATCTTCCTTTCTCTTTCCCTCTCATGATATCTCTAATATTGTGCGTTCTCCCCATCTCATACTCTTCCTAATCTTCTATGGCATTTATCTTATCAACTTTCCTATCTCTCTCTTTCTCCCCAAATTCGTATCTGTTTGATCTCTCGGTTACTGCATTCACCATGTTTTTCTTACATTAACTTTCTCTCTGGCTAGTCCATTGCCTGAACCGTTTCCGTGTTTTGCAACCAATCAGCTGAGAAAATAACACATCCTCAACACTAAACCAGAGACAGACCTTGCCTTTCATTCTCACCCTCGCATTTGTTGGGGTTGTGCTTTCTGTAGACATACTTAGATGACTGAAGGAAAAGAAATATATACAAACTGACAGAATCTGGACTACTCTCTGGCTGGTTCTCTCTCTCTCTCTCTCTCTCTCTCTCTCTCTCTCTCTCTCTCTCTCTCTCTCTCTCTTTCTGTCTCCTCATCAACCTCCCTCACCCCCCCCCCCAACTATCCCTCTCTCTTTCTCTGTCTCCCCATCACCCTCCCTCATCTCCCCCAACTATCCCTCTCTCTCTTTCTCTCTTTCTCTGTCTCCCCATCACCCTCCCTCATCTCCCCCAACTATCCCTCTCTCTCTCTCTCTTTCTCTGTCTCCCCATCACCCTCCCTCATCTCCCCCAACTATCCCTCTCTCTCTCTCTCTCTCTCTCTCTCTCTTTCTCTGTCTCCCCATCACCCTCCCTCATCTCCCCCAACTATCCCTCTCTCTCTCTCTCTCTTTCTCTGTCTCCCCATCACCCTCCCTCATCTCCCCCAACTATCCCTCTCTCTCTCTCTCTTTCTCTGTCTCCCCATCACCCTCCCTCATCTCCCCCAACTATCCCTCTCTCTCTCTCCCTCTGTCTCTCTCTGTCTCTCAGTCTCTCTCTCTCTCTCTCTCGTCCTCTCTCTTTCTCTCTCCATGAGACTGGCCAATTCATCAACACAAGAGAGGCACTCTACAATCATTTATTTTTAACATTCAGTTCATGTTTGGAACATTTTATTACATACATGTACATGTAAACTTGGAAAATGATTACAAATGAATTATCTGAACATCACAACATGCATTAATTGATACTGCATTCTGACCCTTACCTTATATATACAAAATTGTAATCTTGACTGATGTAGTTGCAATAAGTTACAAACAAATCTGAAGAAAGATTTATATCCCCCCTCCCCCCCCCCCCCTTAACTAAAATACAGTGTACAAGGAAATCCATAACAGTATTGTATACTTAAATCCCATCTGCACTAGTTTGGCCAGGAGGGATTAGACCTCCCTGCATGGTCACTGACAGGTGGTTATCTGATCAAATCAGCTCTCAATTAACATAAGAGAAAGAGGATCATGGGGAACCAACGGTCACCGCTTAGGCGTTGTTTGCTTTATAGAGGGCGCAAGTAGCTACAAGTAGTGCATTGGGGCTTTAAAGGCTTGTTCGTATATGCTGATAACACATTGGACCATTGTTGCAAGCAGCTACCTTTTAATCCCCATACCAGTACACGGTTTCCTTGGGCACGTGTGAACAAACCTTGAGTAGCTTCTGGTAGAGGAATGTTCAACTTAAATCTCAAAATAATGCACTTGCATGTTGAGTCTTTACATATTACTTTACCATATGTCAAATTCATACGGCTACCTCTGTAAATCAAGATTTAAACCAAAATAAATTTTAATTCTAACAGGGATATTTTGGTTACAGTCACATCCTAAAAGAAATCAACTCTGAGTTGAGAATTCTGAAGCATGCCACTGCAGAGATCAATTTTTCATCCAACATTTAGTATATACTAAAGACTAGATAAATAACATCTCGAATTACAAAACAGAATTGAATAACAGAATACTCAGCTTGAATCATCGCTTCATGTTTAATCTCTATAGGTCTATATACTGCTCTCTCTCTCTATCTCTCTCTCTCTCTCTCTCTCTCTCTCTATCTACCTTCTCTCTCCACTTATCTCTCACTCTCTTTCTCTTTGTGTGTGTGTCTCTCTCTCTCTCTCTCTCTCTCTTTTTCTCTTTCTCTTCTCATTTCCTTGGTGATGTTAAGCTGGTCCCAATGCTATTCTACTTGTTTCATGCTGGCTTGGGAATCTACTTCCAGAATTTCTTGATGGACATGTTCTTCTCGGAATCCTTGAGCATAATCTGAAAAGAAATCAGAGATATTTTTGACCTGAAAAATGATGTTCAAGCAAAAGAAAGAGAAGCAGAGATGCCAACCTCTTGACACAAAAAAACAGACTGAGTATCCTAAAAAATCAGATTTTGGAGAGAAAAATCAGATTTTCACGAAAACTCGACACTACCACTGGCCCGTCAGCACCGGGCCAGCAAAAATTTCTGAAAAATATTTGACTGGTAAGTACAGTCAAGTAAAATGTTTGCTCTTTCTTTAAAATTTAATGAGAATTTGAACAAGAGAGTGTAACAAAAGAGTGTAAGACACGACCGTTGCCGTCGGGTCCCGGTTTCGTTTTTTGAGAACCGACGCTCCGAAAAAAATAATGAAATATGTAAGAAATTGCAGTTTTGCACACCACTAAAATCAATCCACCTTAAAACTTAAGTTTTTAATTGTTACCAATCATATTCTAGCTCATCCTGAATCAATCCGAACTGCTGTTACAAAGCAGTTCGCCCCATGGGGTTGTTGTTGCCAGCTAGCTGCTAGCTAGCTACTGTACTGGCCGGGTCTCTCGGCAGGATTAATAAATCAGGTTGAAAGAAACATTAATGTTTGAATAATAAAATGACTTTCTAAAAAGTACTTCTTTACAACATACCGATCGAACTATTTTTGAAAGACAAAAGAGATATTTTTTCTTTGATTTTGAACTCTGCATGCTTCTTTTAAAAGCTGAAAATTACTTGGTAATCACAAGAAGTTTCGATACGGATAGCTGTTGCAAGGCAAGTTCAGACTAGTCTCGGAAAAATGCGCAGTGCACCTCGTTAGCTGTAATGCGTGCCAGAACGAACCCAAACAAAGACGTGATCGTAACGAGAAAAAAATCATTAAAAACTACGAGAGCACAATTGGAAAGACAACTACTCAAATTATCGAAAGCAGATACATAACTTGGAGGAAGAATACAATAGTTGTCCAAGAAAAGCCACATAAATAGTGATATTTAAGGAGTTACTATAGGTACAATCATTATCGGAAGGGCCTAGCTGCTGCGATATCCGAATTACACGTGTTTAAATTGAACACGAGGCTAGAAACCAAAAAGGCCCTCTACGGTAAAAAGCAGTATAACACAGGATTCGAGTATTTGCAGCAGGCCCCTTGCAAATAAAAATGTACCCAGTTACTCCTCGATTATCACAATTTCTGTGGCATTTCTTGGGCGATTATTAAATTCTTTGTCCAAGTTATCTATCTGATTATAGTAATTTTGAGCAGTAGTTGTCGTTCCAATTGTGCTCTCGTAGTTTTTAATGATTTTTTTTCTCGTTACGATCACGTCTTTGTTTGGGTTCGTTCTGGCACGCATTACAGCTAATTACGAGGAGCACTGCGCATTTTTCCGAGACTAGTCTCAACTTGCCTTGCAACAGCTATCCGTATTGAAACTTCTTGTGATTACCAAGTAATTTTCAGCTTTAAAAAAAAAGCATGCGATGTTTAAAATAAAAGATAAATATTTATTTTGTCTTTAAAATATTATATGATCGGTATATTGTACAGAAGAATTTTTTAGAAAGCCGTTTTATTATTCTAACATTCATATTTTTTTACCAGATGTATTCAACCTGCATAAATCAAAATGGCGGCTCGAATGTTGTCTTTCCATTTCTGCCCCAGTTTTTTTACTTTTAGAGGCACGATAATGGCACTAAACATCGCCAATCATGGATGAAAATAATGTCAAATGGAAGAATATACCGATCTGAGCCGAGGTATGCATGTGTTGATTTATTTGATTGATAAAAAAGTCACTTTTAAGGGACATACTGATGATATGCGCTTTTTATAGAGGCAAGTGACAAATCCTGCGAGCTGATTTCGGGACACCGGGTCCCGATCGGTGCAACGCCGTCGGGACCCGGTTTATGAAAATCCTGACATGACTCAGGCCTATTTGTATCATTTGCCATATTTATAGAAATTGATGAAAATGTAACAAACAAATTGTGTTTTTCTTACCTTTGCGACGGCCATCTCAAAGTCTTCTTGTGTTACGTGAACTCTCCTTTCTCTGAGTGCATACATGCCAGACTCTGTACATACACCCTGTTGAATATATTAATAACAACAATGTTATATGACCTTTGTTCACCGTATTCAAGTAATCACACGGTGTGCTAAATAAATGTAACATATCATTCTTTCATGGGTCAAACATATGTTAAACACTGATGATTACCATTATCATCATTCTTCTTAATTGTATCATACTCATAATCATCTAATTTTTCACTATCAGAAAAACAATAGCAGAAATCTACTCCTAACCATGAGTTCAGCCCTTGGAGCACCATGCATGAGTTCAGCTATCTTCCTTAAACTGATACCTGTAGTCAGAATCGTCTAATTACTATGACCATTACAAGCTCTGCTTTTTCGAGTTTCGCACCTTTTTCCTTGTAATACAAGTTCTTTAATTATGTTCATGTTCCAACATATAAATTGTATTGTTTGAACATATGTCAAATATGTTTGTCAAATTGAATGGAAGAAAATAAATGTTCATTTGAATTGAATTGAATTGAATAATCATCTCATTTTTACTATTTTGTAAACACTAGAAGATGTTTTGTTCTGACCTTGACCTCAGCCCCTGAAGCACCTGGCATGAGTTCAGCTATCTTCCTGAGATTGATACCCCTAGTCAGGTTCATCTTACGGGAGTGGATCTTCAGAATGTCAAGACGTGCCTCTTCGTTTGGTGGAGGGAACTCAATCTTTCGGTCGATACGACCAGGTCTGAGGAGCGCAGAGTCAAGGATGTCGATTCGGTTTGTTGCCATGATGACCTAAGAGAGATATCACAATTACAAATTAGGATATTTGTAGGAAATACACTAAACTACACATTCATAATGAACAAACAGACATTTTTCTATAAATTAAGATGAAATTGATGACATTATATTACAAAAAAAGTGAAAGCTATGTCCCACAAAAAATGAAATTCCAACCCCCTTTTTAGCATTTAACAGATTTTCTCATCAAAATTACATACTTACCATGATGTTAATACATGCATTGTTGAAATATTGAAGGCTAGATAAAGCATGAGTACATTTACTAACAATTACAACAATACAAATGTAGCAAAACATAACTGTTTCATTTTATATTTATTATGTTATTATTGTCCTGCTTTTTGTGTTCTGTTGTTTTGGTAGGTTTTAAAAAAAAGTAGGTTAAAAAAAAACACTTTCTCTTCATAACAAAGTGGACTGCTTAGCCCTCTGGACTATTTATTTCATCAGGATTTGCATGTAAAAGTACCGGTAGTCATATTCTTATCAATTTTATCAAAATAGGTTGAGGTAAAACCAGGGGTGATATTGGAACAACAACAAAAAAGATGTAGAAATCAGAGCAAAGCAGGTTGCCAAGCGCTTGCGAGAGTCATTCAAGCAAATGATGAAAAAACAGCACCTCACACCCCCCCCCCCCCCTGTTTATTTTAAACTGGACTTACATCGATCTCAAGGACTAAATGCTTTTTGGGGGGAAGTTCATAATTTTAAAAAAATCAAAATAATGATTTTTTTTAATTTTTAAAACAGTGCCGATTTAAATTGAGAAATCTGTTTTTGCCTACATACCTTGATGTTCTTTGTAGCTTCAAATCCATCTAGCTGATTGAGAAGTTCTAACATAGTTCTCTGGACTTCACTATCTCCCCCGGAGCTTCCCTCGATACGGGTCGAACCAATGGAATCAATCTCATCCATGAAGATGATAGACGGAGCATGTTCTCTGGAAATATTTAAGACGTATTCATATATAACTATTACAGCAACTCTCTACAAAACAAAGTACATGTAGTTATGAAAGAAATATTATGAAGTCCTTTGGCAAGACATTTATCTACATTTGCCACACTCGACCCAAGTGATGTAAATGGGTACCTGGTAGGAATTAATTCCTTGGAATGCTAAAGTACCATAATGGCAGCCATGCTAAAGCCGGGGTAATAGTTGAAGAGCGCCAGGAGTGTCAAGTTTGACAGACATGAGCAATAAACAAGAAACCACTATTAATAATATTCAATCACTAAGCTAACATACATGTAATTCTGGTACAATACTTTTGATGTTTGGTACCACATGTATAATGTATTATATCAGTACATATACAGATGCATCCACATTCAAAAGATGTGCAATACAGAAACCTCAATATTCCTTGAAAAGGGATCTTTACTCTTCTTGTTTATCACACACTGTCAAAGCAAAATACTGTAATTTTTTTATTTGGGTCATATTGTTTCAGATAGAATTAAGGGCTCAAACTGGCATATCGGAAGGCTTATCAACCGTGCTGCCACTGCCCCCCCCCCCCCACCCCCTGTTCTCTTAAATGAGTATCCTACCTAGCCATGACAAAGAGTTCTCTGTAAGGCAAAGACCAGTATAAGAAACACCCAAATTTCAAAAAAATGAAATGGAAGCTCTTATTACCAATCATGTGAAAGAATATGTTTTGACTAATACATGATGATAACAATTTTGCCGGGAAACCGCCTACTAATTGATATATTTGGTAAATTAGTTTATCTATTGTTATGTGATAGATAAAACGCATGTGTCGCACACGTGTGCGTAGTCTCATATACATATTTCTGTGTACGGTCCTTGTAACTTTACCAAGACTGGGGCAAATTTCTTATCATTTTGACACACCAATACTTATATGCTAGATGATCAACCTTTTCAGATCGATTCCACAACGTTTCTTTCACAATGCAATCGCATGACCAGAACTGATCTTTATCTTTAATTGAGTATCCTACCTCGCCATGACAAAGAGTTCTCTTAATTGAGTATCCTACCTAGCCATGACGAAGAGTTCTCTGACCATCCTTGAACCTTCTCCAATGAACTTCTGGACTAGTTCAGATCCCGATACTCGTATGAAGGTGCACTCTGTATGATGAGCTACAGCCCTGGCTAGCAGTGTCTTCCCTGTGCCTGGGGGACCGTATAACAGTACTCCCTGAAAAGAGAACAGGATATGATAGTGGTCGTTATTTTACCTGACTGCTAAATGCTTGTACATGTAAGTAAGCAACCAGAAGACTGACGGCCTCTCCGAGGGACCTGGTAATGAGGATTAATGCCTTACCAAGGGCACTAGCGCATCGACTTGCGTTTCGAACCTGGGTCACTGGATTACGAGACCACTGCTCTACCAACTGAGCTATGGTGCCTGTCACATAAAAATATCGGCATTACCAAACACTATAGAACGACAGTGGTAAGATAGAACATACACGAATGAAAGGGAACAATTGGTTGGAAATACAAGTTAATTTCATATGTCAATTAGTTATGGAAAAGAATGAATAACAATTCACGTTTGTTTAATCAAGTCTTCTACTTCAAAAGAACTTTTAATAAATACATGAAGATACCACGAACATGGCCCAATACGAGATTCATTAGATTATACAATCTCGACAACACAGTACAATAAATAAAATTCACATTTGTGTAATATTCTTCAAAGTTGAGTTACAGTTGTATGGACTATGTTAATAATACAACATGTATTGGGCTGCAATGGTGATACATCGAAAGCAAAGAATTAGATATATCTAACCCCTCCCCTTCCCCCAACAAAGACAAACATGTTTGACTGTGAAGGTGGGAGAATCGCATTTCAATCAATACAGTAAGCTGTCCATTGTGAACAGGTACATTGAAGGTAGGGATTACCAATCTATTATACCACATAATCCATGTAAGCTGGGCAGCATAGATTGAAAGCAAAGAATCAGATACAATCTCACCCCTCCCCCCTCCCCCCTCCCCCTTCCCCTAACAAAGAAATAAGACTGTAGAAGAGGGAGAATTACATCCTGTATTGATTGAAAAAGTCCATTGAGAATAAATGCAATGAGGGTAGGGGTGTTCTTGTTGGATGTTCTGCAACAATATCTGTGTGCTATTATCCATGTACAGTAGATGTAATTTTGTTAACTTTGAGAAGACAGGCTAACATTTTAAGACAAGCTTCATTATCTAGTGGACACAGGGAAGGGAGATAAGTCTCTGTAGTGTGCTTTAATAGTTGGGTTCAGAGTTGAACCCTATTTAGGGCTATCTGGCTATCTCTATCAGTTACATCATGGACGATAAATCCACACCTCATTTATGATGAAAATATGATAAAGTAAGGTGATGCTTAAACAAATATTTTCTTACCTTTGGTTGAGCGATACCTAAGGCATCAAAGAGTTCTGGGTGTTTGACCGGGAGTTCAATGACCTCTTTAATCTCTTTGATCTGTTTGTCTAGACCACCAACCATCTCGTAGGTTGAATCAGGAACCTTCTCTACCATCATCAAACTAACCAGAGGGTCAACCTATAAAATCAAACCAAACACTTCCAAAGTTATATGATGTCACATTCTAAAGGCTATGATAAACATGAAGGTGCATGTTTTGACACTAAAGGAACAAAATATTGTCCATTATTATTAAAAGATAAAAATAAAAACATCCTTACATGCAGTTTTATAACATTTTTTTATAGACTAAGCCAACAACCTTTTAAATCAAGATGAGGCTAAGTAGTACAACTAGGTTAATATACAAACACCTTTACAATACAGCTTTATCTTCATTTTATAAATGTTCCGTCATAGAAAACTTCACAATTCATAAGCACATTCTGGGCATCCAAAAATAAATAGAATCAAATTAGAACAGAAACAAGCTTCTTTCGGTCTAAAAGTATTACAAACGTTCAGGCACTATGAACTGCCCAAAATAACTAGATTTGTTTTGATGTATTACCTTATTCGGGAGAATTTTGTGTAGTGTGTGGCTATCGTTACGTAAGGCTACTCTGCAATTAGGTTGGACGTCATTGATGTCGATTGATTTGTCGATATCAACTACAAACTTGCCCTCTGGATGCACCTGTAAACATTAAAAAACATAAAGAAATATATGTTCAGCTGTTTCTCCATACCCATAATAGCAATTCAATGTACAAGTACTTTCAACATTACCAATATACAGCCTATAGATTCATATTGAACCATAAGGGTATAAACTCAATTAAAAACAGAGTTAAAACCCTGCTGGCTCTGAACAGCCAACATTTGGGATCGGTAGAATTACTATTCAAAAGTCCTAAACATGGCAATTTTGTTGAACCTTACCTAACAATCTACCTCAACGCAAATGGCTGAAATAAAGTGAAGATGTGATAGATGCTTGCCAAATCTCTTCACTCATTTACTAATCTGTTTTCAGCTTTTATCTTATTTTTAAATAATAATGTTATACTACACAATGTAATTTTGATTATTGTCATATATCCGAATACAACGCATTTCATTTTTTTTCCATAAAAGGCAGCATTATTCTTGGTACGTTACATTGACATAAACACAAACAATTTTATTCCCAACTTGATTATACGGATTGTTATTTTGTTGCTTTGTTTTTAATAAAAACATTAAAAGAACTACATTTCAATATAAAAATATTCAACAATCGGCCCCTGATCCCATTATTGGTTACAGGGTTACAGCTAGGCTATAACTTCAGCTAAAATCTTACTTTGACTAGAACTTTCTTCTTGTCCATAGCTTTGACCACCTCTCCTACATGAGAGCCTTGTTCTTGTAGAAGCTGTAATTCTTCCCTCAGCATACGAACTGTGAAATACAATAAAATGACATGGTATTATTCATATCAAAAGAAGTGCTTGCACGTTTGAGTGCAAAGGGCAATCATTGAATGTAAAGCATGTATATTCAATAATAAGTATAATATAACCACCAGGCAAAAAAATGAAATGCACTGGCTTTTAGAATAACAGTAGTTGGTAGTAAAACAAAAATATATTCAATCAAAAGAATAACAACTGATGGGGGAAATGGGTAAATATGAGAGGTACATAAAAAACAAATGAATAGGTGGTAGAAATATATTTCTGAGTAATAAGAACTCATCACATTGCAAATCTACGATACATTGAAATTCTTTCTTTTTTGTTTATTGTCAAAATAATAAATTCATACAAGATTATTTATAAAGCTGTCATAATAATATGGATGCAGCCTTGTAGGGCCCTCATGGAGAACAGCATTGATACCGATAAAGCTATCATGGATAAACAAAAGACATACATCTAACATGTGTCATTGTAATTAAAATATTATTATCATACAATGTCTTTTTATCTATTTATTATTATTTTAAACAATATCATGCAACCATAATTTTCTGTACTGGATTTGATGTAGAATTTGTTTGTTCTTTTTTAAATCAATAAATATTGTTTTTTCCATTTCTCCATAATATTGAATTCCTCACCTTTTGCATTGAGTTCATTTCTCTGAGCTTCCAATCTCCTCAGATTCTGTGTCTTGTCGGTGACAACCATCTATAATGAAGATTGTACAAAATAAAAACGAGCATTATTATGAATTCCTTCTCCTCATACCCCTTTTCTTCTTCTTCTTCTTCTCCTTCTCCTTCTCCTTCTCCTTCTCCTTCTCCCCTCTCCCCTCCCCCTCCCCCTCCCCCTCCCCCCCCTCCCCCTCCCCCTCCCCCTCCCCCTCCCCCTCCCCCTCCCCCTCCCCCTCCCCCTCCCCCTCCCCCTCCCCCTCCTCCTCCTCCTCCTCCTCCTCCCTCTCCTCCTCCCCTCCTCCTCCTCCTCCTCCTTCTTCTTCTTCTTAGGCTTAAACAAATAAGATGTTGTATTGCCCTTTAGGTGCCAAAACATGAGCTTTGGGCAGATATTTCTCAGTTTTGAATGCTTATTACGTTTTTTTTTTTCACTCTAAAAAAACGGTTAAAAAAAATTATAATTTAAAAGCCGACAGTAGATTTCAAGATTTTTGGGTCGGTCGCAAAGGGTAATACAACATGTTTTTTTTTTTTTGGCCTTATCCTCCTCCTCCTCCTCTTTCTCTTACACCCTCACCTCCTACTCCTATCATCAACATGAGTATAAGGATTGTAATATTCACTTGATGTAAAAAGAAATGATATACAAACTGACATTGGACCAAAAGACAATGAACCTATGAAATACAAAGTCAAAACTTTGTGGCATCTACTTTGTAATGAAACAGAGGGAAGCGAGAACAGACTGATTAAATAATGTTTTACCTGAAGCTCTTCAATCTTTGTGATGTAATATCGCTGAATGCCATCCTTGCGGCCAGACTCCTCTACTTCCATTTTCTGATGAGAGAAAAGAGAGAGATAAAGAGAAATTAAAAGAACAGCTAATGTAGATGTACAATTAAACTATAAATCACTTCATCCCTATGTTATGCATACTCATCCATGTTGTAGGGTAGGAGCCGAGGAGGTTGTGAACTTATGGGTCCCATTAAAACAACAAAAAAAAGGATTAAAGCTCTCACACTTGCCATTGCCATTCTACATAAATTTGTGTGACTAAAAGCATTGGACCCTCTATCATAAATCTACTAGGTCTCATGCTTTTTGAAGCACAATCAAACTAGTCCCAATTAATAGCAGCTCACGTCACCAACAATGCTCTCATAGAGTCATAGCAAGCAATTCCAAATCACCTGCCGAACACAGTACAGGGCCAGGGGTCATCATTTCTGCCATTTTTCAGGACTGGAATAGCCTGAACTGAAGCAGGGTACAACTTCACCAGTCATCTTTTTTACATATTTTTTTTTTTTAAATTGAAGGAATTTTCAGAACAGGAAAAACTGGAAAGTAGTTTACATCTTCATGTACATGTAAATGCTACCTACCATTTTACAAATACAATAATCATCTCCTTTGATTGTGGAAAAAACAGAAAGACAAGACAAGACCATACATACAAGGCAAAATAATGAATAATATATTTGTTTTCAAATTTCAACGTGTAGTATGACTACGAATACGATGTAATTTCTAAATGAAAATGGTAATGTAAATGTACACTGTATATCAACTTGACAACTTGAACTTGTGTCTTGTCAACTCATCTACTAGACTCAAGTCAAAACTCCTATAGGCCTAATCAGTAGTACAGGCTGATCGGAGAATGAGGATCATCCGCATAAACAAGAATATCCTTGTAAACGCGGTCATACGCGGACAATCAAGTCCTAAAAAAATAAGGATCATCAGATTTTTGCTGAAGTTTTTTTTCTTTGGCGCTCTGCAGGTATAGGGTTCCCTATCCCCAATTCCCTATCCCCAATTCACCGTCCACTTTTACGGGTTGTCCCTTGTCCATCTTCCCAAGGATTTATTGTTTATAACGTGAAGTCTCTGTGCTGCGTCAATGAGAACTGCATCATGGATGGAGCATCACTGCGGAATCCGTTTTTCGCATCGCCAACGCGCAGGTCGTTATCAGCATCAGCATCAGCATCAGCATCAGTATACGGAAGTGTGAGGTGATCCTGTTGAAACTTCCGGTCGTTTCATTGAGTGGTGCTTCGTTCGAAAAAGAACCTTAACTTAATGATTGCCTACATTTTCAATTGCGGACAGTACTTACTTTTTAGGACACTATTTGTCCACATTGACGCAGACATATATCCTCGTTTATGTGGACGATCCTTATTCCCTGACCATCACCCCTACTGGCTGCCCTGGCCCTGTGCATGTTATTGTTAGTTTTTATTTTTAACATCTCTAGACCTACTCTAGTCTTGCCGGATGACCAAAATGCTCCTTCTGTTTTTTAGTCTTTTGACTTGTCTTTGATTTTGTGTATCTAGAGTCTACTGCAACAAACTTCATGAGCTACACGATATAGACCTAGGCTAATAAGAACAATTTTGAAATCGATACAAAGCCCAGCGCACATCAATCATGACAATGCAATTCTTGCTAGCCCGATGTATTGAAATCCACGTCTTTGTGGACTGTGATTCAGCTTTCAAGAAGTTTGAACAATTGCCCTCTTAATGACTGCTACATCCCTCATAAAACGCACATATTTATTCAATATGTATTTTTGAAAATAACTCAATTTCTAATAATTGAATAATAAATAATCATCACAAAAGACAAATCAAGCACTTGGGGAAAAACAAAGTGAACTTACCTCCATGATTTTACACAAAATTTTCAACTCCACTTTACAACTTCGAAATGTAGAGGGCAGCATGCGCATGCAGATAATATTCGCTGAGCCCAAATCTTCGACTGGTACCCGTATTTATGTGAATTGTTGCTGGTACATGGTCCCTGACGTGAAGCGAGCAACTGGGGTGGGGAACGGTATTGGAGAGTTAGCTAGCGGAGAATAGGTGGTTTGGCTATTGTATCTGCACCAGAATCAAATTGTGGCATCAGCGAACTGCAACGCAAACAAATGATAATTAAGATTTGGGTGAAGCAGAATTGCAAGAACGCAAAGTTGACTGGTTTTGTAAGTTTTTAAAGCTGATTTACGAATTGATATGAACAATAAATAATTCAAAATGGTGATGAGAAAGTGTTTTAGAATTCTGGTGGGGCGTTCCCGGCCAATATTCCCGATTGCGATGGGGATTTGTTTGGGAATCACGCTGAGTCTTCTTTGCTCCCCTCTGCTGGAAAGCAATTGTGGATTGGAGAATTTAGTTGCTGTCAGAACTGGCCGTAAAACTCACACAATATTCTATGGAACTGATGAACATGGGAATATGCTGAGTGAAGACGATTTTGAGCCTATTTTACGCGTAGAGGAAAATCCAACGGACAGAGTCGTCGAGAAACGACGTGTCGTCCGAACACGTTTCATAGCAACCGAGCTGGGCATCAAAGAAAAAATGTTTGTTGCGGTTGTGGTCTCCCGTGGTGAGATCCATTCGGAATCTATGACGGTTGGCATCAATAAAACTCTTGCTCATTTGGTGAATAAAATCGTCTTCTTCACCCGCACAACGCCAGACCCCATGCCAGCAGGAATGACTGTCGTCACTTTCGAAGGAGATCAAGCGATCATGCGAACATTCCAGATTTGGAAGTACATTTACGATCATTTCGGAAATGATTATGACTGGTTCTTTGTGATGTCAGATGACACTTACGTCTTTGGAGAAACTCTAATTGACTTTGTTAATCATATCAGTATTGGCAGAGATATCTACATGGGTATACCAACTCGTGAAGAAGACATGGAAATCACTTATTGTCACAAAGAATCTGGTAAATATTTGGCATGTTTGGAAACCCCAGCCCAGCATTGACATGTACTTCTTCCCATCCCTCTTCTTTTTTGATATTTATTTGACAGGTCCTTTCCACAAGTTTTTAAAGCAGTCTATGAAAAATGTCAATTCCTTTGGCTTTGCCAAAGCAAAACTAGAGTCTAGATCTAGATCTAGACCCTATGTAGGATTAGGAGTCTCTAACAACAAAAAAACGAAAAAAAAGCTATCATATTCTTAGACAGGATCAATTCAAAGCTGCATTTTACTAGAATGGCTGATGATGGGCCAATTTTTTTTTTTTTTTTTTTTTTTTTTGTGGCAAGTGCAATGGGGCCCAGTAAAGGTACTTAATAAATTGCCTCATTCTACAGAAAACAAAGTAGATTGTTTTTTTTTTAATGTTTTGTTTGTCTTTATCAACAGATGCTGAAAGAATGAAGGTACCTGTATAATGTGTACAGAAGGCCTATGTGCTTAAAACTAAACAACAGAAATGAATGAATACATTGTAAAAAAAAAAAAATGCATTTTTCACTGTAGATCTACATGAAGGTCCTCAGCTCTGTACATTTGTAAATTGTAAGTGACCCACCAGTTCATGAAATTAAGAATTGCTTACTTTTTGTTAATGCTGTATTTATACTTTACTTTACTTTAATCCAGGGATGCTATGACTACCTATGTATTAGAAGCCTGTTCACCCTTTCTTATCCTTTCTTTCACACCTAGGTTACTTGGTTTCTAAGAATCTTCTGAATAAGGTTGGGGAGTACTGGGAGGAATGTATGCAGAAAGCTTGGAGTAGTCTGCCTGACCTGGAAGTAGCACGCTGCATCAAGGAACACAGTGGAGCGCACTGTGTAGACAACTATGAGGTACAGTATGAAAGACCTGGGGTCGTTTCACAAAGATCCTAAGTTGAACTTATCTCTAACTTGGACTTAACAGTTTATGGAAAGCCATTAGCATTTTTGAAAATATTTTGTAAAAGTTATTGTAAAAGGCATAAAATGTTGAGTCAAATCATTGAGATTTCATGTTCTTGATGTGGAATTTATGAAAGTCTAAAATACTAGAGTTTTTTTCTTTTGAATATATTTCATCTTAAGGCTACAAATGGCTCTTCATAATGTTCAAGTCCAACTTATAGTTAAGTTAGAATTAGGATCTTTGTGAAACATAGCAGGGGGGGGGGGTGTTTCATGAAGCTGTCATACATTAAAGTTCATCATTGTAGTGTTGTACCATTGAAAACCATGATAATAGATTGTGTGTTTCAGGGGTATCTGTGAGAACTTGTAATTATAATGGTTCATGAAATGGTGCCTAACGCATAGCTTGATTGCGATGACCCTGTGTAGGAGCCACCTTGTTGCAACCAAAATGGCTTGGTAATGAAAAATGAAAAATTAATAAATAAAAATATACCAGTCTCATCATCATTAGTGATCTGTCAGTTTATGACAGGTTCAGTGACCCATTCAAAATTCTATATCAATTGTCTCTCCAAGTTTCTCTCCAAGTTCCTCGGTCTTGAGCCAACCGTTTCATCGTTTCATACCCTGTTGCTTAATCCACATTATGTGATTACATGTACATCGTCTAGAAAGCCTTATGGGTCTCGGGTCATTCCATGTCAAATCACCCAAAAAATCTGAAAATCTTAACCCGACCATTTTTGATTTTGATGAAACTTAGTATACTTGTTGAGTGTGATCTCACAGCACCAAATCCAAAATTTTAGGTCAATCGGGTGAGGGGTTTGGGAGATACGGCCCACCAAATTTTGAGATTTTTTCAAAAATGGGGGTGGCGGGCCTACCTTTGAACCCTTGTATCTCGGGACCTAATGGGTCATTCTTCACAAAATTTGTATTGTTTTAAAGGGTATTCAATAAGGATTCCAAATCTGCCGCCATTTTGAAGATTCGTACATGTTGGGGTACTTTGACCTCTTGACCTCAGATTTGACCTTGAAATTGACCTTGTGGATCACGTAACTTTGACAACATTTTTCATGAAATGTAATCTCTGACATGTTCACTAAAACATATTAAAGTTTCAGAGATATAATATTTTTTGTTTTGGAGTAATAAGGATTGAAAGTATTCATGCTCACAGATATTCACAATAAACCCTATTATACTGTATACAATACATGCAATATGCACAGTACAACATGTACATCTTCCACATGTTTTTTTGTTTTAGTCACATCCATCCTAAATGTCAGCAGTACTTGAATAGAAATAAAATGACAAGTTCATATAGGCCTAAAGGGTTAACAGGATGTATGGCTTTAGACCTCTGAGTCGGTTCTAGGATAATTACCCCCTGGAAATTTACCCCAGAGGTCAATTACCCCCCCCCCCCCCCCCCCCCCCTATTCGTTAAAGTGGAAGTCCAAACTGATAATAAGGTGGTTATAATCAAAGCAGATTTATTTTTTGGGGTATATTATTCTAGAGGGGTAATTTTCCCGGGGGGGGGGGGGGGGGGGGGGGGGGT